AAAATAAAAATAAAAAAAATACAAAAATACAAAAATATTTAGCTTTAAGAGGGTTAGGCCTACCCTAAAATTAAGGAACGCTCGACCTCGACACGTGATATCGAAATGGGCGAGATCGCCTCTTGATATCACTAACTCTCCTGACTCCTGACTCTCGAGAGCCGTTAATCACATTAACTTGCAGATCTCAGCATAACAAGAAAGACTTGCAAAAATGCTGCAGAGGCCTTGATACCTCCATGAATATATCATAGTCATCGACTCTGGCTTAGGATCACTCTTTCAGGCCAAAGAGGAATAAAGCAGGATAATGTTCATTTTTCTTACGATAAAAACTGCTGAAAGTCATGAAAGAGTGATTCATCGGTAATTTACCGGTAATATTAATATTAATGACATGCAACACTGAGGTAACTACCGGAAATCCGGTAACGTTACGGTAATGTTAACAGCAGTGGCCACTCACAACTCTAATAACAGTGGCCAGTCTGTCATCCCAAACCTTTCTAACAAAACAGTAACAGCTACAAACAGGTACTTTGGATACTTACTCTCAGCAGCTAGTTTTTCACGCTGCGGTCAAAAACTTCCAAAATGCAATAACATACCCAAACCTCTGTATGTTAAGGCAGCATTATTGGAATGCAATCAATCACCTACACTGCTACCCAGGTAGCACACTTATTGACTCTTTCATGTTAATACTACGTCAATATGATGAGAATTTGATGCATGTTGAAAAGTTTGACATGACTATTGATGTTGCTATTTTTGTAAAAAACTTGACATGCATGTAAGTCACATCAACTTGATGTTACATTTAATGTATATATTGACGCTCATGAGGACATACACTTTTGACAAGTTATTGATACGAGGACCTTGTAATTATCACCATAAAATTGACATCACATCCACAGGTCCATCGCGAGATTTTGTGAGACATATTATGAGGTCACTGAATGAAAAATTCTCTGACAAACTCCTATTCGCGTAATTTTCATCAGCTGAAGCTGAAATGGTAAAATGCTCACTAAAAAATGACACGCATTATGAACTGCGGATAACAGTTGAACGTAGTTACAGGCGGCCATGGTACTCTGAACTCGAAAGTGCTCTTCTTGCAAGGCGGCATATCCAGTTTGGAAGCCTTGCTTTCAGACGGATGCAGGACTCGCTCAGTGGTAAGGTACTTGTGAGCTGCTCTATGATATGAAAGTAGCTTAATAAGAAGTTTCCATTCGCAATTCCATTTAATAATATTGGCCTTAGGTCTCCATTTGTAGGCCTAGTTCTCGGTCTGGCACTGTTTCTCGCATCAACCTTGGCCTAATAGCTCATGTTTCGGCTACGTACTTTGTAATAAATGCCAGGCTAGGCATTGATCCAATTTCAACACGTCTGACCGTTTCGGATATCAGTCAGTAAGATATTGAGGGGTGAATGAACAATTCTAGAACCGCAGAGTCAAATAAGGC